TCAAAAAGAAAATGTTGATATTTCTGGATGCTTGGTAATTTCTTAAAATAAATTCCCAAAATAGCTTTAATATCTAAGAATTGAAAACCTTTTCCACCTTCATAACATTGAGCTTTATTTAATCCTGCTGGACTAGATCTTTTTACTACATCAACCACATGATCCAGACAATCTACTCTTGTTTTTCTGTAGAGTTTTTTTATTAAACCAAAACTACCATCACATTTGAATTTGGTATGTCCAGGAACCATGAAATTTAATTCAATGCTTTTGTAATAACCACAAATTACCAAATATAAATAAAACCAAATTGTTACATTATTTTTATTTTGTCCACCAGCATTATCACAAGTAATCTTTAAATGCTTTTCACCTCTATTCAATTTCTTAATTCCATCAAAAATCATGCTAAGTGTACCATTAGGACCTTTTCCTATGATTTCATCTTCATCAAGAACATGATTAATTTGTTCCCTTACTGCTTCATCTTGAATACCAAACAAATGGACTTTACGTAAATATATTTTACTTACTTGTTGATCTGAATGTGGTATATGAACATTTTGGGCTCAATCATAACTATAATGAGCAGTAGCATCAATACTACAATATTGTGTTTTACCCTTGGAATAATTCTGATTAACTAATTTTCTTTGTTCTTCTGCCAATTTGGTATTTTTATTATAATAATTTCTCTCTAATTTATATCAATTTTGTAAATTTGTTAAATAAACAATGATAGCTGCTGCTGGCGGTAATGGTAATCAAAAAGTAATCATAAAGTCAGATGATGTGTATATATATATATATATTACTATTACTATCAACATTTCTTTTGCAGTTCTAAATCAAAAATTACACAAATAAAAATTTGCAGATGAAGGGTAACGAATTATGCCTTTCCATTCTTTGAGATTAAGATTTATTGTAAATCTATATTATATATTTGTATATGAATACCTTTTTAAAAATCTTTGTACCTACTTGCTTTGACTTGTATTAAAAATTTAAAAATTTGCTTAATTACATACATTAGCCAGAAAATCAATAACATTAATATCCAAACATTTGCATTTGGTTCTAAATAATGGAAAGATAAAACTTCCTTTTTTGTAAACCTATAATTAAATATGAAATTCCTTTTGATTGACTAAATTAATTTAATTTTCACATTGGAAATTCACATAGATTTCATTTTCACATATAACATTATTACATGTTTCACTTCTCAATGCTAATCATACATTCTTTTAAAATTATCAATTTAATATCATATCTCTATTAAAATCTCCTGATAATATGTGTATGCGAATCAAAAATAAGAAGAATTTTTCATTTGATTGAATTTAAACCAACTAACCAATAGCCTCAATATTTTCAAGTGATACTTTTATTCCTTTACATTTCTTTTCTTGCATGTTTATGGTCTGTTCACTTGTATTCATAATTTTATTAAACTTTTTATTTGCATCATTTTACACAAACCCATCACATCCATCATTTTCTTCCTCCTTATGCAAAGTCCACACTTAAAATATTCTTTATTATGCTATCAAAGCATACTTAAATTTAAGCAGAAATTAATGTAATTAATCCAAATGTGATTTAAGTGTGAATTCATGTAATTTGAGAAATGCCTTATTCTATCTCTCACTTTTAGTGAGTTTGATGTAATAGATTTGCAACCTGTGAGTACTTTGTAGACGCACCATAATATTGCATTCAAGAAATTGAAGGCAAATTTTTGAAATGTGAACTTGATTATCTTGAAAAATAGGCAAAGTTCAATGCTGTACTAGGGTAAAATTCTGAGCCATTTTCAGTAGAAACGTATTATGAAAATAGATGTAATACGGATAAAATAATACTTCTTTTTATTGTATCTTCTAATCCCAAATCATCTTACCTATTTTTCTCCTCGGTGGTTAAAGGATTACCACTACGGTGCAGATCATCTATAATCATTAATTGCTTATAGTAACAATTGGTCAACTTTAAAATACTAAAACAAAAAAAAATTATATCATTTTAAAA